AATAAGTCTTAAGATAATTATGCCAAGTAAAAAAAAGTTAGACAAAAAAATAGTTACTGTATGAGCTCATTTACATAAAATTCTAGAAAATGAAGACAAATCTATAATAGAGATCTGATCAGTGGTTGCTTGGGAGTGGTGGTGGGGAGGAGCAGGAGGGAGAGATTACAAAGGGCACCTGGAAACTTTTGAGGTAATGGATGTGGTCACTACTTTGTGGAATTGTCCCATGATTATGTACATATGTCAAAATTTATCAAGTTCTATACTTTATATGTGAGTTACTATGTCAGTTACACCTCACTAAAGCTGTTATAAATAAATAAATAGCTATAGAATTTTAAGAGTTCTAGAATAATTTAGTCACTATGTTATATTTTAGATGTTACATTAAGCATCGAATAGAAGAACAAATGCAAACTGACTCACAAGATGAAATATCACTAACAACAATTTTGCAGGAAAGTCTTGGGAGACCAGCACAAATGGAGAATATAGAAGTGTCTCATTTTCAGATACAGTGAATGAAAGTCAATCTTTATTAAGGTCATTTCAAATTTATGTGTTCCACATTTCAAAGAAAGAAAATATACAAAAGGAGAGAACAGAATGGAATAAGTGTATCAAATTCATCCCTGTAAAAAGTATAATTCAATGGTTTTTAATATATTCACAAAGGTGTACAAGCATAACTACTAATTACAGAATATTTCCATCACCCCAAAAAGAAACCCAAAGTAGTCACTACCTATTCCCCTCTTCCTCCAGCATTGGTAACACCAATCTATTTTATGTCTCTATGGATTTGCTAATCTGGATTTTTTTATAAATGGAATAATACAATATATGGCCTTTTGTGTCTAGTTTCTTTCATTTAGCATAATGTTTTCAAGATTCGTCCATGTCTTAACATGTCTTGGAACTTCATGGGTGAATAATATTCCCTTGTAAGAATAGTGTCGTCAGTCAGTTGATGGATATTTGGGTTGTTTCCATTTTTGGCTATTATGAATAATGTGAACATGTACACATTTTTGTGTAGACATATATTTTCAGTTCTCTTGGATAGAGATACCTAGGGGTGGAATTTCTGGGTCATGAGGTAACTCTATGTTTAATTTTTTGAGGAGCTACCAAACTATTTTACAAAGCACACACAGCATGTTACATTCCCACCAGGAATGTATGAGGTTTCTAATTTCTTCACCAACACTTATTGTTGTCCATCTCTTTTATTATAGCCATTCTAGCGAGTATGGAGTGATATTTCCTTGTGGCTTTGATTTGCATTTCCCTAACAACTAATGATGTCTTTTCATTCGTTGGTCTTATAAATCCTCAGAAAATAAACAGGATTAGACCTGACTGGTACCTGAATGAAGGACCACCTTGTCTTTCCTCTTTATTCCCTTTCTAAACCAAGATGTCATTTATTATTCATTCAATAAGTTTATACTGAGACTGACTCAGCCCTGAGTTAAATGCAGTCAAAACTTCTGAAGAAATAGAAATGATGGCCTCTACCATCACGAAACTTAAACAATTATCATTAAGAATAAGAGTGACAAAAGGATCATAATGAACATGTCTTAAAGGTACCTTAAAACTCTGTATCTTAAAAGATTAGATCAGGGAGAGACCAAGATGGCGGCATAGGAAAACACCGGAAATTGCTGCCTCCGACAACAACTTCAAAAATACAACTAAAAAGCACACACAGCATGTTACATTCCCACCAGGAATGTATGAGGTTTCTAATTTCTTCACCAACACTTATTGTTGTCCATCTCTTTTATTATAGCCATTCTAGCGAGTATGGAGTGATATTTCCTTGTGGCTTTGATTTGCATTTCCCTAACAACTAATGATGTCTTTTCATTCGTTGGTCTTATAAATCCTCAGAAAATAAACAGGATTAGACCTGACTGGTACCTGAATGAAGGACCACCTTGTCTTTCCTCTTTATTCCCTTTCTAAACCAAGATGTCATTTATTATTCATTCAATAAGTTTATACTGAGACTGACTCAGCCCTGAGTTAAATGCAGTCAAAACTTCTGAAGAAATAGAAATGATGGCCTCTACCATCACGAAACTTAAACAATTATCATTAAGAATAAGAGTGACAAAAGGATCATAATGAACATGTCTTAAAGGTACCTTAAAACTCTGTATCTTAAAAGATTAGATCAAAGATCATTTTCAAGTAGAAATTCCTTCCTAAAGCCCTACAATCCCTAAGCACTTCTTAAGAGCTGCAACCCAATGTGCACATTGCCTGAAAACACTCAGCTGTACATATTTTGAAGAGCAGGTTCAGGGCTTTGTGGATAAATGGAGTTCAATCGCTATGCCCTGGTTCTCACTTGCTGGCGCATTCATTTGACAGGGTTTTGTTACATAACTTGTGTGTGTGAAGAGCTGACATTCTCGTCGGGCTGCTGAGTCAGATGTTTGGGATCTTCTGGAAACCACATGTGCGCACTAACACAGAAACTGCACCGGCAGGGTGGGAGCTCGCCTCTCTCCTCCTGTTTCCCGTAGCATCGCTTCCTCCATCTCCTCAGGCCTAGGGGGTTAAATTGTTGGGTTTCCACCTTGGCCACGTCGTGGATTGCCGTTGTCTTTCTTCCTAAACACCGTGAGGTTAGGCCAAGCAGAGTGTGGGCAGCCTCTTTTATAGAGGACTCGGCAGCGGAGCTGGTAATGCTAGAACATGTTATGTTGCTGGAGAGGAGACCTCGGCGTGCAGCCTGCGTTGCCAGGGTCTCCTTTCTCTCCTGATCTTGGAGGAAACAAGAGAAGGGGGCACAGAAATGAGGCAGAAAACCTGTTGAATCAACAAAAGCGTTCAATGGCAGATTTCTGGAAGGCTAGCATTCAAACTAAAACCAGAAATAGGTTTCTATAGTTTTACCTTGAGTAACTAAGATACAAAAAGGTTCTTCCACAATGTTGTTGAACCATCGGCATCATAGGTCATGCACCAGGCAGACATCTAAAGAAAACTGTTACATCCGTCCTTCTAAACTTAGCAATTGTGTATATGCACTAACGTGCATGTATCAATACTTAATATTCATAGGACTAACGGTCCTGGAAAACCATGTGCCCATGACCTTAATTAATGTAGTTTCAAACTAAGGCAGTGAACACTTGGATACAAGTCCCAGTTTTGCTGCTTACTAATTCCATGACCTTGGGCAAGTCATTTAAAATGTCAGAATATCAAGTTCCTTATTGTCATGGTTCATTATACTTGTAAAAGGCATTCTGTTCTGATTTGTGCTCTTTGTGGCACACGCAGTGCCTCGGGGTTCTTTTACTTCAGTTTTGATTTCTTGCTTTCCATCCAGGCCAGCTCCACTTTTCTGCAAAATGGGCAAGCCTGCCTAAAATAAGCTTTTAAAAATCACAACGTCAATCTCTAGCTTAGTCATATGTCACAAGACAATGAGGATGCAGTTTGGCCTGGTGGTCAAGAGCATCGTGGCAGAGTTCTGAGGACATGGTGTTGGATTCCGGTTCTGATTCTGACAGCTACTAGCTGTGTGACCTTGGACGGATGACTTAACCTCACCAACCTCAGTTTTCTCACTTGTACCTCCCTGGGCTGTGGGGAGGTTTAAATGCCCACATTGTACGTGACATCAGACACAGACAATGCTGAGCACAGGGCCTGGCACATACTGAGGGAGCAGTTAACATCCGTTATTATTCTCTTGGCAAACATCATCTCTAAATTAGTTTCCTAGGAATTAAAGTGACATACACTCATGACATTTATTAAAGTTTGGAACAGTCCCACATGCTAGTCTTCTAATTTCATTTTTCCTCCAACAAAAATCGGTACTTGGATAGCAATTTACAGTTTAAGATCCACTTTCGCAAATATTGCATTTTTTCCCTATGACTTTTAGTTGAGTTCTTTTTTAATATGCCACGCAGCATTATCCCAAGCCCCAATCTTTTTACACACAGTAGGATGACAAAAATAAAAGAAAGTGGAGCATTGACTATTAGCTACCATCAAACTTAAGCAACTATTCCTACACATTTAACTAATTAATTCTCAGGGGCTGTTTCCTCCCCCCAACCCCCTCAGCAAGACTATTGTAAAAGGATCATTATTTTTACTTCATAAGGATTTTTTACCATGAATTGATTCAACATGCACTATTCACATGTGACGTTAATATGCAGGGCCAGAGACCTGTGACATGTATTCTCTATTCAATTCAGAGAGAAGTGAGTACTCACTACTACAGTAAGGGGCCAGCGTCAATTCAAACAGGTAATGCTTGACAACTGGTCACCGATAAGCAAGTTGTTGATGTTTTGCTAGCTATGATTACCACTACACACCTCGAGGCATCAGGACTGTTTGCCCAGGAGAGGCAGGAGGGCGAAAGCAGTATCAAACAGTTCTCCACCTAAAGGAATGTATTTCTAGTTGAGGAAGAAAAGGCAAAAGAACAAGGCCAGATAGCACATAATCACATGCTACATTGTTCAGGACAGACAGGGAATGCTACGTTAGTGGTTTTCAAAAAATGTTCGGCACCTTGAGCTCTAAAAAAAATCCTTTTAGGGGCATTCAGTGTGTAAAAGAGACGCGAGAATAAGAGTTGATGGAATGGAGAGCTCGTCCTTCCCCTGTGGCCCTCGGCTGCTGAGATCACAGTTTTCAAAGTTGTGGGGACTTGAGGGATGGGGAAGATTTGAATGACAGAGCTGGGAGGAAGGTGTTGCAGGTAGAAAGAACAAGAGCCAAGGCAAGAAGGGGAGAATTCAGAGTAAGAAGTCTTCCTTGTGGACACCTAGTAAGTGATAAAAGGCACCTACAAGGTCACTTTTGGTTTCCAACCTGAACCAATTTTCAAATATTTGAAGCCTGGTGAACTAGTTAACAAACACCCTAAATCAGAGAAGATGGGAAGCCCCGGGTTAACTAATGGCCTGCAGTCAAATACCGTGTCTTGTTGTTACTCTTGATTTCAGAATCATTTCAAGTAGTCGTGAGAGGAAATGGCTTTCGACACGCTCGCAACGTGGACAGGGTGCTCTGCAGCTTCAAGATCAACGAGTCGGTCACGCTCAGTAAGTCCTTAAGAGTTGGTGGGTTTCTTCGGGGAAGGGAATGCAAGCCCCATCTTCCAGCAAGGCCTCACTCGGGAAACCGTGCAGAGACGGGTCTTCCCTGCAGTAAGCACATGGCAAACTCCTACACACCCTGGTTCTCATCGGGCAAGACGCACCCACATGTGTACTGAGTTACCCCTTCCCGGTTGTCCGTGGTGGCGCTGATTGGTGAGGGGACATGAAGCTTGACATTCCTTAACCAAGTATTAGGGCCTCTCAAGCATAAGAGTGAAAAACAGAGAGTCTAAACTTATTAATTCAGAATCAACCAAAAGCCAAACTGTAAGGCTTGCATGTATAGATGCTGGAATTTTTTTTAGGCTGGATGATTCTGGTTTGGAGTTGCCAAGAAACTCATCATGGTGAATATCTGACATGAAATACAGGAATATGAAAGCAAAACTAAGTGCATTTCATGCAAAAAAAATGAATTAGCATAACATTGGCACTCTCACAAGACATTTGTAGCAGGCAAGTTCTTAATTTAAAGACTGACTGTCGGAGGACAGATGTCCAGGAAGCCTGGTTATTATTTGCACCTGGCATCCATCCCGCAGTTAATTATTGATTCAGCATCTGCAGTGATGAACAGTAAAAATAGATTGCATTTTCCACAGTGCCATGTCCTTTTAAATGTTTCACATCTTTTCGCCACAACAGCCCTGGGAGGTAGAAAGAGAATGGGGGCGGGCCAGGGAGATATCCACACTATTCTGTCCTCCTGTTTGCCTTATTGAGTAGGTACTGTCCTGTTTTTAAAAAGGAAGAATTGAAAGGTATGCCTTGTTTTTTCACTTTACCATCTTAAAACCCGCTTGAATATTTAAACAGAGATATGCAATGGCTCCCTTACAAACATCTGGAATTCCTGGCCTTGGAATAATTCCAAACATTTGAAACATTCAGTTAGTTTTCTTAATACTTGGAAATACTTTCACGTCTCCAAAAAATATTCGCTATTCGAAAACATTTTGAAATATCCCTGAGTAGTCACAGTGTGAAAGTTGGATATGCGCCCCCTACAGAATTCTTCCTTTTTTCTCCCTTTCGATGGTGATGTCACTCAAGTCCGCCTTCCCTCTCTCCTTAACCAAAATCTCAAACTCAAGACATCAACACCTTCCAGACTTCCCAGATGCACGAGCCTTTGGACCAACCCCTCTCTGAAGATGAATGGGAATGGGGATAGTGTTGCCTTTGCTTGAAAGGTGACACGGGGGTGCTGCATTAGGATAACACGAAATGCAAACGCACTATGGATTTGCAGAGTGACGTTTTGAAAGCCTGTTTTCCAGTTTCTCCGTGGAATTTTATTTCTTGGGAAATCAGCTCATTCTCTGTCTCCCTCTTCCTTTCCTAACACCTGTCTAGCCCTCCACCTCATTCTTATTTAAAAAAAAGAAAGGCTGTTGGGATAGGGATTTGGCTTAAACCACAAAGCTAACCATGCTTCCAGCACAGTGCTGAGAGTTTGGAGAAGAGGAAGGCAGTGACTCAATCACGTTATATGCTGTGAGCAACACTCCTAAACTCAGACATATGGTTATTTAAAATAACTAAGAGGGAAGTATTGGAATTTGAAAAGTACCTGTCCTTTATTTATTAATTGGCCCATTCCTTAATAATAAGAACAAGAAACTATGAAGGACAGGGAAAGTAAATAAGTTTTTAAATGCAGTATATTCAATCTAAATTTTTCCATCAACCTTATAAATATAAGTCTGTTGAGTTGTCACTGTAAAATAAAATAAATTTATGTTCCTTTACTTTACTTTTCCCATTCTCCTTTTCTACCTCTATATCCCAAGTTTTAAATTTTTATCTATTTTCATTTTTATACTATATATTTCCTCTTTCTAGATTTTTTTCTAAATGCTGCATTATATATTATAATGATAATATGTTATTAATCAGAAGAAGACTAATTAAAGGCCCAATGATGAAGGTAAGACTTCCGTGGCTCTCTAGCCTGTTCAAACATGATACAGGCTTCAGAGTCGTCAACAAATAATACAGTAGCAGATTATATGAAGCAAAACTGTTAAACATAAAAGAACAAGTTGACAAATAATATTTATAGTGGAAGATATTAACGTGAATTTCTGAGTATTTAAATGGGCAATAAAAAATGAATACATATACAGTTTTAAATGGCTTAAACATTCATTTATTATACTAAGACACAAATAAAATGCTAACATATTAATGCCAAAAATTTTAAATATATTCTTAGATGATAAATATAAACAAAATAAAAAACCATAGGATAATACCTACTTCTCCCCACTTTCCTTGCCTTTTCATAAAAATAAAATCAATGAATCAACCTCTTAGAAATCTAAAACAATTTCTGGACTTGTGGTTGATATAATAGGTCCTGAAATTCTGGATAAAATGTGGTTTTAAAAATTGTAACATGTGGCCTTGTTCAAAGGAATGAAGAGGAAACCCCCATGTATAGGAAACAAAAATGGAAAGCAATATCTAAGCAGAAAGCTAAGCTGTGTGGGCTCCAGGCCTGGGGGTCTGCAGATCATTCTCCTGATACTGATCCAAACACAGAACCCCAGCCTATGCCTGGCAGTGGGCAAGAGCAGAGTCCCCTACAGAAATTAGGCTCCAAAGAGCTGCACCACACATTAAATGGGGGCTGGAAAAGCTGCTCCGTGACCCAAGGCAAGAGAATAAAGGTAAGATATTATATCACCCAAAGTGTGTCCATGACCATCCTGATCCCTGTGGCCCTGGCAGAGGCAATGAACATTCAACCCAACCTACAGCATTCCTGCAGTCAACAACATCCTCTGAAGATGGGCTCACAGTACTGAGTGGCAAAAAATATGAAGATGGATGAAAGAAACAGGAGAGCAAGCAAGGAAAGAGAACCAGAAGGAGAATGGATAATAAACACATTTAAAGAGTCTAAAGAGATCAAACATACCGAAGGGGAAGAATGTTCAACAAAGGCAGATTTGCAGAAGACCATAGTGTAAATTCTAGAATTGGAAAAGTTTAATCACTGGAATAAAACTTCATGGATGAATTAAGCAGAGTGATTAGACACAGATGAAGATGAAATGCATAAACTGGAAAGAGAGATATGAGGAAATCCTACCACCCCACCACCCCCCAGCTCCCAACCAAAGCACCAGACCCAGATTTTTTTCACCCATGTTTTACCAGACGTTAAGGGACAGATGGCCAGTATCTGATATGGGTCCAGCCATAAGCATCTTTGTCATAAATATCTTGACCACAAGCATTTTCATTGCAAACATCTTTGCTGCACAACTAATTGGCAGTAAGGCAATTTTGCTGTAAAAAATAGAATAGCTGGTAGATAGTTTGATGTGCATTTGACAGACTTAATGTGTTTAAGCTACTTGTCACTTAGTTTCATTTGTCCATTGGTGAAGTGCTTGCAGTTACTCCCACTGTTATATTATGTCTAAATTTTAGCCCTCATAAAGGTCTGTCCAGTGACGAGTAGACCTGGTCTTAAAATAATGAACCATAACAACTACTATGAAGCAGATTGCATACTATTCTAGAAAATGATCACACATCAGTTTGGAAATCCTTCGGGGAGCACAGTCATCCCTCCCATCCATCAAAATCAAAAATTTGCCAAGCTACGGCAAATATAAAAGAGGCGGCTACTAATTCACAGTCTTCAAGATGTTAAAATCAACTATTTAGTTGGAAACTCATACCTTTCTTAATGAAGTAAGAAATTGCAGCAAAAAAAGAAAAATGCTAGACCAAACAAGAAGACAAAACAACAAACAAAAAATGTATAGCATTGTGAACAAAAGACGTCAAAGACAATGTACTTTTACTTTTCACAGTAAAGTCTTTTTTATTTTATTAATTTTTCATTTTCTATTATGTCTTTTTTTAATTTTCCTTTTTAACTTTTCATTATTTTATCTTTTCTGGTGAAATTGCCAGAGGTCAATTAATTTTGCAGCAAAGATGTCTACAGCAAACATGCTTATGGCAAAAATACCAGACACGAGTATAAACACTGGAACCAAACCAACTAGGAAAAGAATCCTAGCTCTGTCTTAAAACTGTGTGACCATGGCACGTAACTGAACATCCTCATGCCTTAATTTCTCTACCTGTAAAATAATATGGAAATAATAGCAACTCTATCGTGTATTGTTAAGAGGTTTAATGTGGGAAGTGGGGCATAGAACAGGACTTGGTACACAGCAAACTGTTTATCAATGTTGGCTACTGGTATTAATTTATTATTATCATTAACACTATTATTAAATGGAGCAGCAGCTATTATAAAAACATCAATTGTCTTCAAATTAGTATTTACTTTTAATACAATCCAATGGGATTGTATTGAAAGTCAACAAAGTAATTCTAAAGTTTATATGTAGGAATAAACATATAAGAATAGCCAAGAAAAATATGGAAACTTGCCCTAGCCAATTTTAAGATGTATACAAAAACCCTAGCCAATTTTAAGATGTATACAAAGTAATTGAAACAATGCATGGCTGGTGCCACAAAAGGCAAACTAAGCATTGGAACAGGAAAAGCAAAGTCCATAAACAGAGCCAAACACTTATGTTAGTTTAGCATAAAATAAAGCAGCCTTTCTAATCAGGGAGTTGGGGGGGGGGGCG